CAAGTGTGTTAAGCTGAGGGAATTTACAGTCTAAAGGCAAAAGAATCTATTCCAAGAGTAAAATATAATGTTGGAACATATCAGACATACATGAACATTTGCTTCAGCCATTTTCTCGATTTGGGCTGCCTTCTCACTTGCAATTGCTGAAGCCAATTCCGCTTTGGCTAGCTCCTGCAATTTTTTCATCTCCAATTCTGCTTCATTTTTCTGTAATGGCAATTGTTAGTGAATTAGGGAGAAAAAATCTACCAAGTACAAAAGAGGCAGACCCTTTATTTAATAGAAGTATGCCATCATGCAATTAAGTACCTTGATTTCAAGCTCCATTTTATGTTTCTCCTCCAATTTTTCTTGAAGTGATTTAAGTGCTGCAGCTGCTTTTACTCTTTCTTTGTTTAATTCCTGTAAAAGGTTAAGCAGACTTTTCTTAATGAAACAATGAATATGATCAAGCCAACGTACAGCTATAAATACTTAATTTGCCTTGAGTAAACGCATATAGTTGGAAAAATGTAGTGTCAATACATATCAGTGGTTGGGCATACAACTCAGTCTATAAGGAGTTTCTTCAATGAAAATGACATTTCCTTTAGGTTAACCATACCCAACTAAGCTGAACTACTGAGACATCAGATTTAAACCATGAAGCTGAGGATAGCCATCAACTATGAGAGATGAACAAAGCATTTACATGTGAATATGTAAGAAAAAAACAAATTTTCTCTATAACCTTATTCAGAATGGCTTCCCTTTCAGCATACATAAGCTCCCTGGCCCTAGCATCCCTTAATTCCTTCTCATACTTTTCCTGCCAAAATACAGAATAAGCAGAGATAAATAGATTTAATTAGTCTGAAATCATCGAGAATTAAGAGCAAACAATGCAAAAAAAAAAAAATCAAAATCATATTCTTCAATTTTTAGTCTCTGATTACTAGATTTGCAAGACCTTCAGCATTATTTTATCTTCAGCAAAAGTATGAGCATCTAACTCTGCTTGTCGTTTCTCAGCTGCATGAATGGCTTGTAGAAAATCAATCACGAGTTTTCCATCCTCAGATATATAGCTCTCCTCGATAGTCCCAGGTAAACCCTACAGATCCAAAAGTCATTGTCATTTCAGACACAGTAACTGATGAATTCTTTGCATACAATGCTTTAATTGCAATTGCACTACATTTCAAAGTAATCCTTCAAGAAGAAACACTTTTGAGTAAATTACAACCACCTGAGATTTACTGGTTGACACCAATGTGGGTTCGTTTCCATCGCTTTTCAAATTGTAATCATCAAGGAGGGAACTAGTTTGTCTTCGTGCACTGGCCAGATTCTCCTGCAAAAGCTACCCCTCAAAAAATGGCAACAGAAGAAACATAATTGAACTATGCATACTAATTCAGTGATCCTTCAAATAACAATCAGCTTATACCTTAGGTGAGTCTTGGCTATTGAATTGAACAGGCACAGAATTCGTCTCATTTTCAGCAGCAGCTGTATCATCCCGAGTAAATGGTGGTGTCATTTCAACAGCCTTTTGCTGATCACTATCAACTTTGACATCTGAACTGTTCATGGTAAGACTCCCTTCAGAAGGCTTACCAAGATTAGCACTTAAATCATCAGATTGAGTACCACTTCCTAGGGAGCTGGGCAATTCTTCCTCTTGAATATGATTGATATCATCTGATTTCAAATCTGGCTTATCTTTCATGTGAAAGTGACTTTCTTCCTGTCTTCTACTTAAATCTTCTCTTGGAGATGGATCTGAATCAGATGACATGCTTTTCTCCTCGTGTTCCATTTTGGGAGTTGGTATACTTGTCTGCTCATATTTAAGATTAGCAATTGTCTCTATCTTATCTTCATCAACTAGGGATTTTTTACTATCTTCCCTTAAATCCAGTTGCTCTTCACTAACAGCAGCGACCTTGGCAGACTCCGCGGTGCCATGTGGCTCTTTAGCAAAAAATCTATCCAGATAACCAGTGTGGTAAGCTCCCATGACTACAGCACCTAATGCAACACCTCCAACCAAGATTTTTGGCAAAGAACTCCTAGACTCAGCTTTATCAGCTGAACCTGGTCCCTGAGGTTCATTATGCTGAGATGCAGCTGACATTGCTCTCCTGGAAGAAAGATATGAAGGTATCTGCTCCAATGGTAGCCAAAAGGGAAAAGAATTAACAATACCGGCAAAGTCAGTTCATGCTTTTGGTGCACAGAGAAGAGGTGAATAAATATATAATAATTCATAATAATCTCATACTGCAATTTTCTTAAATTTAATTCATGTCAAAAAGGTCTCCTATCAAGAGAAAATGAAATTCCCACAGAAGCCGTGCACAGCTCAATTATGGAAAAAGTCCTCAACAAGTGAACTAGAAAATTAAACGAAAGCTGTATTGTGGGACATAAAGTACAGGGGCCAACTAGGACAATAGAGAAAACCCTTTCCCCAAACTTCTCATATGTTATTTAGAGAGAGAATTATTCAAGCATAAACTGAGCCACCAGCCCAACAACCTTCTCGCATCTCAATCATTAAACTTCCTGAGATCGGCAGGAATTTCTACACTCCCACGGCTAACAAACAGCAAAGAATTTACTCCCACAGGAGCACATTCGTTGCCTTGTTTCTTCGCAATTGCATTCCTTAATGCTAACACTTCTCCCTCAATATTAAGCTTTAAGACCATGTTCTACCAAGATGGCAATAAAACTGCAGCATCCTCATCCAATCATCACCAAAAATCTACAAGACGGATCAAATCAACATGAGACATTGAGCAGGTACAGCTGACTACCATTTTAGATGATCGAATTCCAGAACCCAACTTTACTATCAACAGTACATAGGAGCCCTAGTCTCTTACCTCTTCACTTGGATGATTAATTTACCATCAGGATTTGCATCAATCAATTATTTTGCATGGCCTACAAGCTACTAAACAAACATAAGTCTCTATCTGTCCCTTCAGCTCCCTCTGCATCCAAGCTTGAAAATTATTATCATTTACCTACCAGTTAAGATAACCTATCGCATATAAGATTTCCTACCAGTTAAGTACAGAACTCAAACTATAGCAAAACATCATCAAACTATAATAGCTCATCCCCCTTCCAAGCCAAGTTCTATAAATTCCAGAATATCATTGGTTATGCGTATAAATTGAGTTCCCGACATACATTGACCAAAAAATAACTAGCATTTAAAATTTTGCATAATTCCATTTCAAATAATTTTTTCTCATTTTTGCAATCTCAATATAATAAATCAAAATGGAATTCAGAAATGATAAAGTTCTATCACTTAACGTGCCTGAGATGTAATCTGGATAGGAATTCTTCCATCTAATCGACATGACGAAAGCCGCAAAATTGACCTGCACATTAAATTCAGAAATATTTTTTGAAAAATAGGAATTATCAGAATTTAAAGTTGAACGATATCCCAATCTGTAGCAAATGATGGCCCTAAACAACAAAATCAACCAATGTATTGAGAATTAAATGCCTCGCAAGTGTAAGGGCACAAATTCATAGAACAAAATATAGTGTGTGTGAGTGCCTATTATGTTTCGAAATACCTGCGCAACATGGTGGAGATTAGATAGGAAATGCAGTGAGGAAGAGTTTGAACTGAGTGTCTGAAGAAGCTTGCTTAATCCGAAAGTTCGAACCCACGCCGAGAAGTATTCTTCGGAAGATTTGCGTCACCGGAACCCTCACGAAACTTCGTCGATGTTCTGCTTCGCTTTCATGTTTCTGCGGATTCTTTCAAATCTCTTTTGGGAAATTTTTGTTTTTCAATTTTAATCGACCATAATTACGTAGGTGCTATGTAATTATTTTCCTTATATATTTATCATGTTAGAATTAGATTGTCTATTTAAAAAATCTTATAGTTATTTGTTTCGATGTTTCCAATATTTTTAGATTGCTATTTTTTTAAAATACCCTTACATTAAATAGAGTATAATTTTAAGGGAACTTGAATTGATGGTAAAAAAAGAATCAACTCTCAGTAAATGGGATAAGTTTATAGTAACAATAACTTATATTAAATAAGGGTATTTTAGGAAAATTAAAATACAACTACATTCTTCAATTGAAAAGTGGACTACAATTTGGGACAGACGAAAAACGAAAACAGAACTATCTACATTTTTTCCTCACATATAAAATTGATGGTTTCAAGGGTATCTTTTATAAATGAATTACTTATCCAGATCCTTTTCATGTAACTTAACACTGAAAACCATAAATATATATATATATATATATATATATATATATATATATATATATATATATAATATTTCATGAGAATGACTTTTACAAATGACTATATTTTTAATTGCATGCTTATACATAGAGTAATCCTTAAAATACTACTTATTATTACTTGTAGGCTCAAGCTTGACAATAATGTTGCATCAAATTCTGAAAACTTTAACTTGATTAATTAAGCCAAATTTCAATTGGATTCCATTTGTTAATAACTCTGTTGGTCTGCTATGATAATCGATGAGCCAAATAGGCTGAAAAGTGAATCCATCTTGCCTAAGTTTTGAGGTAAAAAAAAAGGATTCTTTTTACCAAAATATAAAGTTTGTCGTATGATTTGGTTGTCATTTTTTTCAAAAATTAGATGCTGTGTGATTCTTTTGGTATGGAGTTGATTATATTTATCTCTTTTGAGATTCGGCCAAACTATCAATCAGTCTCTAAAAATCTACAATTCAACAATCCAAATGATCCTCTCCTACCCAAAAGGAAAGCTTTTCTCTGGATTAATCCTTCATATGCTATCAGTATATATATTAACGGGTTTAAATACATGTCGCATTTTTAAACTTTAAATTAAAAATTAAATGTTGCATGTGTAACGACATGCATTTAGATTTGAAACTATATACACTGGCAGTGCATTCGTAACTTTTTAGATCATTGATGATTTCGTGCTTCGTTTGAGGATCCATCTGCAAGAGTATAAAATGTGGGAGGACGCTAAAAGTTTATGCAGGTCCGCATGCCTCGGTTGCCATGGTATGTTTGGAGCTTCCAATTGCTTCACCTTCTTCAACGACACGACACGGTTTAAGTGAAGCTTGTGTAACTATCCCTCTACTCCTCTTATGGGAAGTGTGAGAAAAAAAGATGTTCTTCTCGATGAATTATGTCTAGGCATTTCGTTTTCTTGCTGAACTTTTCGCCAAGGTAAGATTCAATGCTAGAATAGGCTTCATTCATCAAACCTAAAGAATCATATTAGACATTTTGGATTCTAATCTCCCTCCTTTCTTCTCAACGCTTCTTAATTTTCATCTCTCCTCTATTAGAAAAAAATAATTTCTTTGTCGCAAATATTTCGCAAACTTAGAGATTTTCTTGCCTTTTGTTTAAGAGGGTTCTACATTTTTTTCTTTTTTCCTGAAGAACTTTACCTGTATTCTGTTTTACAGCTTGGTTGCATTTAGGACGGCATCATTTTGCTAATAAAGGATCACTGATGTAAGTTTCCCTGTCCTTGAGTTTTGATTTCTTTACAATTTAATAATGGCTCATGTTGCTTAGTGCTGAAAGCATCAAGAACAAGTTAATCAGGAACTAGTAAACAATACTAAAGCTTAATCATTAGCCAAAAGTGGCCATCCAAATTTACCAAGTCTAGCAAGAAAGCAATGGCTCAAGGCTGATAAGTCAGCAAACAGCAAATCTTTGGTCATTAGCTTGGATGAAGGGGAGGAGATCGTTGATGAATTTGAAGGTGTCATCATGGTTCAATGGCAAGGCTTGAAAGAAACTATCCAGCTTAATTCTTCAACTGAATCGATGCCCCAACAAATGATTTGTTCGCGAAGAAGAGCTTTGTACTCACTTTTCATAAGAAAACTCGCAAACAGAAGCATACTTAAACCACGTCATGGAAGAAGGCAAGGCAATCCAATTCAAGAATGGCACTCGAAAGCTCTATGCAATCAACAAAAGTTACAATTGGGAGTATGAAGGGATGTGGAGCTACATTTGATACTCTAGCAATGAATCCTTGCAAGAAGCAAGAAATCATTGATGATCTCAAGATTTTCAAGAAGGCAAAAGATTATTACGCGAAGATTGGCAAGACTTGGAAGCGCGGATATCTACTCTATGGCCCTCCAGGAACTGGTAAGTCGGCAATGATTGCAGCCATTGCCAATTTTATGGACTATGATATCTATGATCTTGAACTCACATCGGTTAAGAGCAATGCTCATGAGTTGAAGCAGCTATTGATCGATACAACGAGTAAGTCTGTCATTGTGATTGAAGATATCGATTGCTCTCTTGATCTCACTGGAAAAAGAAAGAACAAAAATGATGGAACTGAGAGGGATGTTCAGGCGAACAACCGGAGAGTTACACTGTCTGGGCTTCTGAATTTCATTGATGGAATTTGGTCAACATGCGGCCAAGAAAGGATCATCATCTTCACTACGAATCATCTCGGAAGACTTGATCCCGCCCTGATTCGTAGAGGGCGAATGGACATGCATATTGAGATGTCATATTGCGAATTCGAGGCATTCAAGATTTTGGCTAAGAATTACTTAGGCATTGATTGATGCACACCCTTTATTTCGAGGAATCAAGCTTTTATTGGAGGAAACCAACATAAGCCCCTGTGATGTGGCTGAGAAATTGATGCCCAAACGTGACTCACAAGATGCTGAGGATCGTTTGAAGGACCTGATTTTAGCTATGGGAGGAAGCTGCCGAACGAAAAGCAAAATGCAAGGAAGCCAAACCCAAGAACTTGGTGGCTGAATTACTAAAGAATTTGGCTTGCTTCAAGAAGTCAATGAAGCACCTCAAACTCAAAGCCGGGTGAAACCCAAGGATCTCTCGGGTTCTGATGTTTTTGCTGTGCGAATAGCTAATAAGATAGCCCATCAACTTCCAATGTAAAATATTTTTAGTTGTTAGATTTTCAATTTTCACATTTTAGCCCTTCAATAGTTGTTTTAGAGCTAGCCACATTGACTTCTTCCACTCTCACATTCTTCTATGCATTTGGTTTGGTGTCATAGGCATAAATTATGGTTTGGTTTGGAATTTCATTTTATGAGTGCATCGCCTTGACAATCAGCATATTATGGCAAATATGGAAAATAAGGAATGAATTTCAGTTTAGCAACATTAGAAAGAACCCGATGTTGCAATTTAGCAAATCTCTAAATGACTGGAATGAATACCAAGAGAGCCAAACAGCGGAAGGAAAACAAAAAGACTTGGGGGAAGCTGGAGATGAAGATAAAAGAAGGATTCCTCTAAGAGGGAATTGTATAAGAATCAACACTGATGCTACATTATAGAAGGCAACTGAGAAGGCTGGATGGGCAATGGTAGCAAGAAATGTAGCAGGAGAATTAATGCAAAATTGAACAACTTAACCTAAGAAGGTCTGTACGGAACCCTTGCTGCAAGAAGCCTTAGCAATTCTAATTGCAATTGTGACGACCCCACTTCCCCCTAAGGCGTACCAAAGGGTTCGGCGGACCGCCTGCCCAACTCTCGCCAGGACTCACTCACAAGCTCACGCGAGTCACGTACAAACACAATCCATGAACCATGAATAGCATTCCCAATTCAAGCTTATAATATACATGGATAGGAATCAGGGTACAAAGTCTCGATATACTCAAACTAGTTGAGAGCGTGTACAACCCAAGTACAAAACAATCTATTCGAGGAATAGCGCGAGTACAAGTCAAAATTCAAAACAAAGTCAAAAGCAACTAGACTACGCTAGCCTTTACACGTCTCATGCTTCGCTCGTACCCCTGTAAGGAAAACAAAACTAATGGGGTGAGTCAAAACTCAGTGAAGTTCCAAATATCAAATTGGCCAACCAATCAAGTGATAGCATAGTGATAGTGAAATAGCGAGCAAACAAGTCAAATCAGGGAAATAGTACTTCAGCTAGCCAAATAATATCAGGTTCGCATTTATATATAAGGATACAGAAACTCATATCTCGGCTCCATTCCAACTTGATCAATGGGTAGTTGACATTCCGTCAACTTTCAAGTCATAACAAGTCCAAAATAAAACTCCACTACACGCCAATCTCCGTCCACCAATCAACCCCCTTCCCCGGGCCCGCACGCCACACGAAACACATGTGGTAATACTCGAGTATACCGTTTAGTCGAGGATGTAAGGCCCGAAACAACCAATGCAAAGATCATAAACGAAACAATAAGTAAATAAAAAGGAAAGGATTGCAAACCAATTAACTACCCAACTCCTCTTGAGCTTGTAGATTAATTGAAACAAGCTACTTCAAGTTGATGAATTACAATCACTCTTGTGTACAAAGGAAGGTTCACCTCCTCCTTGCCCCAAGCAGCACTCGGTCAAGCCAGGACATTTTACTATCTCTCAGGACAACCCTCACAGAGCTACACTCATGAAAGATTCACTCACAAATGAAAAGCTTACAATGAACCTCACACCACTAAGACTACAAATATTCTTTTTGGAGTATTTTCTCACTAAAATCTCTCTAGATCTTTTGTATCTTCAGTGTGCCAAAGTTGTTTGAAGTATCTGACCAACCACTATTTATATAGGACCAAGAAAGAGCCTCATTAAAGCTTCCAACGGATAGAAAGTAGCCGTTGGTAGTGTCGGACGTCCGATAGCACTGTTTTATGCGTCCGACAGCAGGCAGTGAGTTTGAGAAATTTTCTTCAATTCTTTTGGACGTCCGATAGGCTGGTTTTCTGCGTCCGAAGATACTCAATGGTTGTCGGACGTCCGATGCAGTCTTTTTGAGCGTCCGACAGCTTCAGCATACTTTGTCTTTTTCCAATTGCACTTGTTCATGGAATCAAATAATTTCATAACTGAAAATATATCTTGAAGAAATTTAGTATCATCCATTTGTTTTGTAAACATCAAAAGATAGGGATCAAACTCAACAATCTCCCCCTTTTTGATGATGACAAAACAATGGATGGAAAGAAACAAAAATAAGTATAAGCTCCCCCTCAATTAAGTATAAGCTCCCCCTCAATCATTGTAATCAAAACTTTTAAGAGCCAAACTCATAATCTCATAATAACTCCCCCTTACACATTGCATCCATCTCTCCCCCTTTTTGTCATCATAAGATGAGAGTAATAACCAGCAACCATAATCCAACAACAATAACAGAAAATCCAATATTTCAAACAAAAACAGAGAAATGATAGCAGAATTCAGCAATACCAACATACCAACTTATTACAGAGAAATTAGCAAATCATCGTTAGATCAGAATAGTTCTTTTCTCTCCCTTTTTGACATCATATAGATTCAGTAGTATTCAAAAATATCAGCGAAAACTCAAATCAAAATATCAGAAATATCAAAAGAAGAATATTGTGAACAAGAATCACTGCAGTGATTAACAAAATCTCCTACTTGTTAAAGTTAGCATCATGTCTAACTATCCACATGTATTTCATGCCTTTTTTTATATTCTTTCTCACATAGCAATCACTTTTCATGTGACATTTTTGACAACAGAAATTACACATAATCAGGGAATTATTTATATGAACAGGTTTAATAAATCTTACTTGTCTTCTCCTATGGATAACAAACTCATTTGCAGCAGAATTTATCTTAAAATGAAGTTTAGATTTATTACTTTGAAAACAGTCCTGTTTTTTATGTTGAAGCAACTCATTTAAATCATCCATTCTTCTTTTCAAATCATCTTGTTCCCTTTTGAACATTTCACAAACACTTGTTTTTCTATCAAGATCCAAGTGTAAAGCAGTCTCATTTTTTCTGAAGTAATCATTTTCAATTTTCAACTTTTTGTTTTGTTGAAAAAGATTTGCATTATCTCGAAGCAAAAAACTAATTTTCTGTTTTAACTCCTTGTTTCTAATATAAGATTCTTTCAAACTATCATGCAATTTTATAATGAAAGATTCAAGATCATCATCATTTTCATCATCACTTTCAAATTGAGAGCTAGAAGATGTTACCTCATCATCTCCAATGACCATGAAAGCCAATTGAGCAGATTGATCTTCCTCTTCAATTTCACCATCGGAATTGCATTCATTCCATGTGAATTGAAATTTGTTTATTCTTGGTTTTCTTCCTTCTTTCTTCTTCATCACTGGACAGTCACTTGCATAGTGTCCAGGTTGGCCGCATTCAAAGCACTGATCAGTTTGCTTTTTGTTGAACTCTAGCTTCCCTTTGTTTCTCGAGTTGTTGAACTGATTTGGGAATGAATTGCTTGGTCCACCATTTCTGAATCTCCTCTTGTTGAGTATTCTTTTGAAACTTTTTGTGATGAGAGCGATATCATTGTCATCACCTTCCACATCTTCTTCATCTAGAGAGGCAGAATCATCTTCATCTTGTGAGGCTTTTAGAGCAATATTCTTTCGTACTTTTGCATCCTCTTTCTCTTGCACCTTAGTCTTAAGTTTCAGCTCATAAGAGATAAGAGAATTAATAAGAGATTCAATAGGTATAGTATTCAAATCTCTAGCCTCCTCAATAACAGTCACTTTATTTTCCCAATCATTGGACAAGACATTCAGGATTTTTCTATTTTTCTCACCAAGAGAATATTCTTTTTCCAGCGCCTCTAAATCTTTAATGAGATCATTGAATCTACAATACATTTGATCAACATTTTCATGAGGTTCCATCTTGAAAGATTCATACTTTGTAACTAGAATGGACTTCTTTTGTTCTCTAACATTCTCACTACCTTCATGAATTTCTTTCAGTTTGTCCCAAATTTCTTTAGCTGACTTGCAACCCTTGACTCTAATAGATTCATTTGAGTCTAATGCACAATATAACACATTCATGGCTTTTGCATTTAAGGTGAGATGAACTCTATCCACAGCAGTCAGTTCACTTCTTGTTTTCGGTCTAGATGCATGAGTATTTTCATCTATAAGAGAGGCATCATATGGACCTTCACTAATAATAAACCACAATTCGATATCAATAGATTGCAAAAAGATAATCATTCTTTCTTTCCAACTCATATAATTTGACCCATTAAACACAGGTGGTCTAATAACAGAATGTCCTTCAAAAAACATAGCATTATTGGTTGTCATTTTTACTCCAAAGCCGATTGAGCTTAATCTCTAGGAGACCAAGCTCTGATACCAATTGTAAGGCCCAAAACAACCAATGCAAAGATCATAAACGAAACAATAAGTAAATAAAAAGGAAAGGATTGCAAACCAATTAACTACCCAACTCCTCTTGAGCTTGTAGATTAATTGAAACAAGCTACTTCAAGTTGATGAATTACAATCACTCTTGTGTACAAAGGAAGGTTCACCTCCTCCTTGCCCCAAGCAGCACTCGGTCAAGTCAGGACATTTTACTATCTCTCAGGACAACCCTCACAGAGCTACACTCATGAAAGATTCACTCACAAATGAAAAGCTTACAATGAACCTCACACCACTAAGACTACAAATATTCTTTTTGGAGTATTTTCTCACTAAAATCTCTCTAGATCTTTTGTATCTTCAGTGTGCCAAAGTTGTTTGAAGTATCTGACCAACCACTATTTATATAGGACCAAGAAAGAGCCTCATTAAAGCTTCCAACGGATAGAAAGTAGCTGAACAGTCAACTAGCCGTTGGTAGTGTCGGACGTCCGATAGCACTGTTTTATGCGTCCGACAGCAGTCAGTGAGTTTGAGAAATTTTCTTCAATTCTTTCGGACGTCCGATAGGCTGGTTTTCTGCGTCCGAAGATACTCAATGGTTGTCGGACGTCC